TTTTTTATTTCTCTCTGATATCCGATCAGTAATTTACGTCAGTATCGGACCGATACCGATATGTAATATCAGATCGGTCCATCTCTATTAGTAACACAATCTGCTCTGCAAATGTGAATGGAAGGGTAATCCTACTGTTGAAAGTGAAAATATAACACCAAAGCAAGCACATCGCAATGTTTTTTAGATCATCTCATCTCAGGTCATCTCAGTCTGGTTTCCTGTCAGACAGTGAGTTCACTGTACTCAAATGGCCTGTGCAGTCACCAGAACTCAATCCAATAAAGCAACTCTGGGATGTGTGGAGTGGGAGATTCACAACATGGATGTGTAGCTGACAAATCTGCAGCAACCATGCGATCATGTCAGTGTCTGGTGAGTGCATTGTGGATACTGCAGTAGTTAAAATTTGGCACGTTTCACTGATTTCACTGATTTCACTGACCTGCATGAAAGGCAGATACTTTTTGAAAGCAATAAATACGAACATATTTCATATCTCGTCTTTCTAAAACTGGAATTTGGTTGGAATTTGCAATGTGTGGCCTTCTATTTTTACTGATACTTTTACACAGGGATGGAATGGGAAAGAAATTGGCCAGATTGAGATTATCATCAGTCGGATAAACAACAGGGAGCAACATGTTCCTATCGGTTTAACTTTTGCACAAAGACTGGACACTGGGTAAAACAGCCTAACATCTGTTATATTACAACCTGGGTTGTGTCCAACTGTATCTAGCTCTAAGCAGGGACTCTATGCCAATCTATGTCGCTAATAATGGTGAATTATTTTCAAACCGTTTAAAAGGATATCGGTGGATCTGTGTATCTTTAGATTGAGGCAAATTTGCGATTTCCAGTCTTTGTGCTAACCTAAGCTGCACTATTTATCTGTTTAAGGAAAAACCTTCAACAATGATTAAAAAACAAGCTTGATTTTTGTCAAAAAAAATTGTGTACTTTTAGATTAGAAAATCTCTTAGAGATCTCCAAAGCTCAGTTTAGTTTGACACCCCCACCAAAATGACTTTGCTAGAGCACTTAACGTTACAGTGAGTAGGAGGCCCTACTAATTCTGAACAGATGCTACTTTCTGTATTCTAATCTGTGACAGTATGCAGCAGCTCTGCTTTTGTTATCTATTATCTTTCCTCCATTATAACCACGGCTTCTTCAACACATTCAAGAATACTGAGGAAGCCTGTGTATTCTCACACTATGAAAACTCACCACAAAGATAAACACGTATCTACTTCTCCTTGACACTTCAACTTTTCTGATTAAATTTTACTGAGCTGAAGTGCCTGATGGTTTGAGTAAGACCTTAGAAAGTTGATCCATGTAGAGATGCACCAAAGATAAAGCCCCATTTTCCAATCCAGCTATCCCAAGGGGTGGAGCGTACGATTGCCAGTAAAGTGTTCTCACTCCCACCTCTATGTTCATCATCCCTCACAGCTCCTGCCACAACGCCTCAAATCTTATCTGCAAGCCTGTCTGCCTGCCTGTGAGAAATTGGATCAATCAGCTAGCTGCTCTGGGTGATCCACATTTCCCTAATCTCGACTGTCCCGTCTTTCTTTAAAATGGATTAAAGCTCGCTTTTACTGAAAGCGGGTCACAAGGAGGAGTCTCCATTTTGGACATGGCTGTTAAATGAGACCGATTTGGGGCTCAGAGCAGCTCTGCTCAAAAGCCCAATTTAACATGCAACCGAATTGTTCTGCTTAATGCCTTCAGTGATTTCTATATAAGATTAACTGTATTAGGTGTGACAATAAAACAAAATATAGCACTTTAAAGTGAAGGGAGGTTATACATTGAGAAATAAGACCCCGAGGAGAGACATTTAAAGGGAACTGATGTATGGTGCAGGAAGCCGCAATCATTTTGTTCCAAGAATCACAAGCCAGCTTTCACTTTCAAAAGAAGAAGAATTATATGTAAGAGAGTTACCACTGCTGTATATTGGAGGCACACATTTTTATCGAGTATGGCTCCCATGTTTTTTCATCCATAATTTTGCGGAAGCACTGAAGAGCCCTTAATATTGCAACCTGAACACTGAATATAAGGATGAAATATAGATTGCTGTGAACATTCAAAGCCTCAATAGCAAAGGGAAAATTGTCTTCCTTATCAAATATTTCCTTCTATGATGCATGATAATCCCTCGCAGAGTGTAAGAGTGCATATTTTGTGATTAGAAGAGCCTCACAAAGCAATCAGTAGAGCCAAACAGCTCCTACTGTAAATCTCAACCCTCACTGGAGCCCCGGGCAAGTAGAGATTGGTTGTTCTCGTTCCCATTTACTTTACAGATATGATATTAACTCAGAATGTGAAATGCAAATCAGAAAAGGAAAATAGTCTTTATATTAAAGCGAATTACTGAAATAATTAACTTTAATCCAATAAAATATCAATGAAAGGTCAAGAACACAACCAAACACAAGTTAAAGCACCTTTAGATTTGCAGGAGTACCCGTCAGTAAGCTCATCAGCTCTGTAAGTAGAGTACACTGCATCAAACTATAATTTTACAGAGAATGCTTTTGTATCCCCGGGGGAACATCTAAGCTTCTCATGCAGCCATAGTATACAGTACATCATGCTCTAGGATCAAATCAATACCAAGATACCTCAGAGAGCATCAGTAGCAAGGATGCAGAATCACCAAAGCCGAATCCCATTTACTTCCCACAGCACAAAACCACTACACCCTTTTCCAGGTTATTTGCTGTACCAAGCTCAAAATAATATAGTACAACACAAGGGCCCAGAAATATATACAGCCTATTATGAAGGCCATAATGTTTTAGTTTGTGTGTGAAACTGCTTTAGAGAGGTGTCGATCCAACCTCATTTTTGGGGCTACAGTTTGTGATGCTGCTGAATATTGCATGATAAAGAGAAATGTTTGTGGTGATAAATGTTGTCAGGCACATTTATATCAATGAAGGATTAAACTAACAGACGTTTCCCTATGACCATTGCACCAAATCAAGACCTTACTTTCTAACCAAAAATGAGGAAATATGCATCTTTTTATATTTAGCATGATCACTAATCTGTTTGTGTTCATACATTAATACAATATGCCTCCACATGAGTACTTTAAGAGCACGTGTGATACTGACACCACCATGTACACAAACACACACATATAGTGGAGATAGAGACTGAGCGTGATCGAAAGAGCAGAAGCTTAGCATCCATTAATGCACTGCAGATGGGAGTTAATCCTCTCCCTGCTCATTGTGATTATTGCTTCTTGCAAGGCCCTTTCCTGATGCCTTTGCACTCCTTCCTCTTCCTTTCCCACATCAACCCTAAGCCTCCCAAACAACTTCCTTGAATGCAGGTCAGGACTTGTACAGAAATAATCCCTATTTACAAATCCTGAGACAGCAGGCACCTCAATTCCTTTATTGTGACAAAAAGTGGATACAGACCCCCTGTAGGGTGGTGCTGCTGCATTGAGACAGATGCACGGCCCATTAAAGTGGAGGAGCTGCGGTGTTTATCAGCTGTAAAACAGGGCTTTATCGTTATGCTTCTGCCATTATCAGATTGTTGGTAATTGGCAGTAATATATGAAGCATTTTCTCTGCAGAATTCTCTTTCGTATTTTTACACAACTCTGATACACGCTTTGCCGGTTCATCCCACAATTACTCAGCTGTTATAAACAAAGCATTTGAGAACACAACACATTTGATTTTTTATGATTCTACAATTGCAGAAATATAGCGCAGAGTTTGGCAGGGTTCTCTCACCAGATTGTTGATGTTACCCAGTGTGCGATTGGCATTGTAGAGTGAATAGTTCATCTGGTACACCCCATCGTTGGTTTCACTGTTCCCATAGAAACCCACTCCAACAGCAGAACTGGGGAAGACAGAAATTCATACAAAAATAAATCAATAAAAGAAAATATTGGTATGTATGGGGTCATTACAGTGGAACTAAGATGAATGTCATTAAGTTAAAAAAGAAAAAGAAAGGGGATGTAAGTTTTAAACAATGCTGCATGTGTTAATGTAATATTATCAAAGAGTATAATTTGTTCTGCTTTGATTTGTTCTTTGCCCTCACTACATTATGTGCAGCAAAAAATTAAAAAAAAAAAATTAAAAAAAAATCGCAGCAGATTATAAAAGTACATTTTATATTCTTCCTTTCTTCAGTTTCCATCTGCTTTGCTTATTGTTATCTTTACCTTTTGCACTTTACCTGAAAATGACTTTCCAGTACAAGTAAAAGCTTTTCAACTAAATATACAGTACTGTGCAAAAGTTTTAAGCCCCTGCTTACATTTTGCTAGCAAAGCAGGAAATGGGTGCTGTGATTTATTGAAACGTGCAATCACAAATGGAAATACAGTATATAAGGGAAACAGAGTTTGGTCGTGTCCAAATTCATGGGCTGCATCCTCCTGAGGACCCGGCCTTCGCGGTCTACGTGGGCCGGGTCCTCAGGAGGTCGGGTAGGCTGGAAGTAAATGGCTATGGAATTGGACGGTCTAGCCTTCTCGATCTACTCCCGCCCTTAATTCAGAGTATTTCCGGTTGTCAGCGCCACGGCACGAAAATCGAAAATGGACCCCGAAATCTTTCTCCGTTTTTGTGTTCATTTTTAATTATCAACGAGCTAACCCACATTCTCGCCTGAAAATATGTTTAAGGTTTATTTTGTGGCCCAGAAAGATTAATAAGAGTAATTTTAAAACTGGAGCTTGGCTGGGCCGCGCTATTAATTCTGGGATATGGTGGGCCAAGAAGGACACACCCGACCCATCCTTCAAATTCGGGGAAAAGGAGGACGCATTTGTCGGCTGCATTCGGAGGAGTCTACGAATTTGGACAGCCTTCGGCGCGTCGCTGTGACGTAATCGGTCTACAAATGCGGCCTCAGGAGGATGCAGCCCATGAATTTGGACACGACCCACCTTGTAATTTCTCTAAGCAGTCTTCAAGAACAGTTCTCCAGGCTTCTTGAAAGAAATTTAAAGCTCTTCTTTGGATGTTGGCTGCATTTTGTTCCATTGTCTGTCAAGATGATCCCTCACTGCTTCGCTAATGTTGATGTCTGCATTCTGGGTAGGCCAGGCATGCTTCTGCTGCATTGGGAGTGTGTTTAGGATTGTTATCAACTGGATGCTTTCCAGACTGCATTGGGCGTTGGATCAACATGACGGTACTTTTCCGCGCTTGCAATTCCATCAATTCTAAAAACATCCTCTACACCTCTGGCTGAAATGCAACTCTAAACCATGACAGAACCACCACCGCATTTTACATATGGCGGCACTCACTCCTGTACCCCTTCTCTGAGGTACAACATAAGTACTGATGACATAAATACTGACGACTAATTAAGAAAAAAAATTTCAAATTTGGATTCATAACTCAGCAAGGCCCAAGTCTTACTGAGCTGTAGATATGTTTTTCAGTCCTGCTACTTCTTCTTGTGTCTTCCATTTGTTCAGTTACCTCGAACTTTTTAAAGACACATTACATGCTATGCCAAGTTTTTGACCAATAGCTCGTTGGGAATCAAGTTTTCTGTTATGTGTAGACACACACTAATTAATTCCATTAATTCATTGCAAAATATTACAAGAAAGTATGTCTCCTTTGAAGCTATATATGTATAAATAAGACTGACTTGTACAATATAATGAAATGTTTTGTTTGATATTCAAGCAGGTATGTAAATGGAATATAAAATCCCTTTTTCTTACCTACATTTAGCCTTTTGAAACTACGCCTCAGCCCCTGTAATAGGGAGGATTAGTGTCCTAACCGACAAAGAAAATGCACCCCTACTGCTAACAGCCTACAGTTACATGAGCAGTGTTACAGTTCTCCAGTAGGTAATAGTAATCCCTGTATATAGACATGAGTAACATGTCCAAATACATTTTGGGGGTGCATGGGGGGATAGAGTCATCAGTCACACCACAGAGAGCACAAGTGCAGAGCTGGACTCCTTTCTTATATCATATGCGCACGCACGCACGCACGCACACACACACACAGGTAAATGCAGTCCTTGTTAACTCTCACAGTGACTCATCCTGAGAAGTTTTAACACAATCTGTGCTGCAAAATTACAAATCACATAAACAAACAGTCAGATAGGCATATGGCACGGCTAACAGCCTCCGCAGTGAGACAAAATTAAGTCAGAAGAAGTCAGTTAAACTTCTGTGACTTCTTATTTTATCTTACACTTTAATGCATCTTGTCAGGTTGTGCATGTGAAATAAATCATTATGTGCATGCGTGTCATTGAATGTTTTGTGTTGTGTAGCGAGTTTTAAATCAAAAAGTGAGTATCAAATAAAACAAGCAATTTAAAATAATGATCTTCACATGAATTTGTAATTTTGCCATTTCACATGAATGGCTGTCCTGTGTTGATCTTCCCTGGTCTTCAGGACTGCAAAAGTAAGTTAACCGACTGGTTTTTAGTCTTTGCCTAGGTTTTTTCTTTTTTATAGACTGTTCACAGACAAAAGCTCAGTAGGTGTCTAGCTTTCATTTACTGCAACTAAAACCAGAATGTGTTCTCACAAAAGCACAAAGAAGTGACAATGACAGAAAAAAAAATATCTCCTCTGCACAAGGACAAAACTAACAACAAAAAAAAAGGGTTATTTTTGACCGGGAATTGGTTTTTTGAGGACCGTTGGGTTGGGGGTTTTTGAAAAAAAAACCCACACATTTAGGTCCATACATTTTTAGACAATGAGATTTCTCTTTGTCATTTTGCTCCTGTACTGTACACCACCACAGTACATCACCTGCTGGGGAGGAAACTGTAACATCCTGAAAGACGCTGCTTTGAAAGGCTGGTTATGCATTTCCAAATGAAATTAGATTTAGTTACGTCAGTGGACTGAAGAGCCTTTGCATGAAAAGAGCAAAAATAATTAACGTCATTAACTTCTTTAATTTCATTTGACATTGTTCTCCTAACTTAGTTCCGTACAGTTTTGAAAAGGAGATTTAACATTTAAAAAGCTATTTGTGCAATATAGTTAACATGTGTATGAAAAGAAAAGCTCAAACATAAGCTTCACCTTTGTCTCACTGTCGCGTTTTGATCGAATGGCTGACTTTAAATGACTGAAGCAACAAAAACATCCGATTTCACTCAACTGTGAACAGACTTTTAGAGGGCACTGTTTCTTTTTGTGTTTGCCAGAATCCTGCTGCTGTTATATTGTAAGTAATAAAACCCACAGCTACTAAACTAGCTCCCTCTGGTTAGGACAGGGGGCACTGGGGACACAATGTGTAACAACCACAATCTGAAATGGTGTCGATGTTGTTTAGTGAATTACAACATTTTCAGCTGTTTTTTTTTTTTTAAATAAATAAATACATACAATTGAATGACCTTACTTCAGACTTTTCAAGACATCTGTGTTCCAGCTGATATGTGGTGGTCTGGACAATAAGCACTTCATTAACCCCGTGGCCATCCTAGTGTCACATCACCCACAATAAAGGGGCGACTAATGACACAGTAATAAAACAGTAATGAGACAGGACATTATGGGGCAGTGAATCCTCCAGGGAGGCATTTGTGTTTTGTGGTTGTGGAAAAAGGTTCTCTGCAGCAGTAGGTGTTTAATAGAAACCAACACACTAAGATATAAAACCATAGAGAATGTGCACACCAGGATATTTGGCTTTGTTCCTCAAGAACGGCTCACGTCACAGACCGTACAGCAACTAAACGCTTGTACATTAGTATTCAAAGCTTAAGCTGAACAAATGGTTGGACTGGATGAACAAGTAATAACAGAACAATGCCTTGATTCTGGAGAGACCAGCACACTGCACCTATAATAAAGTGGATAACAGAGGCTAACAACGGAGGAAAGGGATTTTTGAATGTTAGATTTATTTTCTAACCATAATTTACCCAATTCATCCTCCTGGGGTCAGGAATAATCATCCGCAGAGGTTCAGCAGCTCTTAAATCCCTTTTTTCTATTTAGGTTCTGCAGCACAACTGAAATCTAATTCATTGCGAATATCACGCCAAGTTAAAAGCTGGAAAATGAATAGGGTTCTCATGAAATATAAATAGCTCTTTCTTACATGACATGAAAGTACAATGAAGTCTCTATTTTATGTAATAAACAACCCATGATATACAGCAGAGGACAAAAAAAAAAGCTGGACAGTTAGTGCCTTTTTAAACAAGGGTTTTTTCTGTCTCACTGTGTGTCTGCCTTTGCTCTGAAATATGTAACAAACACGCTCTCAGATGAACTGATCATGCCACAGCTGGAAAAGAATGACTGCACCATAAAACAAAAAATATGTCAAATAGAACATCTTCCCAATCTCTTATTTGCAAGTACAATTTGATGTAGAATAAGTAGAGTTCACTGAAAGTGCACTTTTACTCTGCTCAATCTAAAGTCATTTCAATATCATTTTTACTCATGGATATATTATTTAACTGGATGTCGTATGCAGCACTCCCTTTGTTAAAATGAATGCAATCCACTGTAACGAGCTTGTATACACCAGAGCTTCTTTGCTAACCCGTGTCATGCCCAGTCACTTAGTATTGCAGAACAACCGTGTGCGCTTTGGTAGTGGCTGGATATGAACAGAGGAAGTTAACAAAGTTAAAAAACCAAAGCTGTCACAAGCTTAAGTGGATCTTTACATAAATTCAATCAAGCTTTTTAGAGAAGTCATTAGATTACTGCCAAAACATCTTTTTCCAAGTGTGTTAAATCTTATGCAAAAAAGGGCAATTATATCAGGGACGGTGGCTCTGCAGTTCTTCTGGATGCTCCCTGCCTGTTAATGCTTGGCAGTACAACTGAAAACTAAATAAGAGCCAAATCCTTGGCTGCAAAAATCTGGTTAGGTAGAATATTTAACCGTACCAAGTTTTGAGGGGGTGTCAGCTGATGGATTTAACAGCCTGATCACTCGGCGATCAGCTGATTAGAGCACTGCTATGACGTTGTCACTCAAAAACTGAGCAGCTAAACCTGTTGTGTTTGTACACCACACATGGAAAAAGCTGAAACTTTGCAGCAAGCAGAATCAGTGGGGCTCTTGTTCCTGCAGCCTGCAATACTGTCAGTTTTATCCTAACCTCACAAATCAATAACATAATAAAAATGCATGAAGCTGCTGAAAGTAATTTAAAGCATATTAGAATGTGAGCATAACTTCCTTTACTATTAGCTACATATTCAACAATAGCAATGCAGTCGTTCTCAGTTAAGAGAAGACACTTTTATAGCGTTTCAGAACTAAAACACAGCTTTTATAATACAGATGTAGCGTGAAACACAATAGCACCGTTTTGTCACTTTGACTCACCATATGATGAGACCTGTGATGACGGCAACCCAGGTGACACAGCAGGTATCAGGCCTTTTGGTGTCTTCATCGATGTCCCTGCGGCAGCAGCACAAGCACACCACGTATACTGCCAGAACCAGCAGGCTCACCCCAAGACCAACTGCACCGACACATGCTAGAATTATCAAAGACTGACACAGGAGTGTGGAGAGGAGAAAAAAAGTGCCAGAAAAACAGAGATGCCATCTGTTAAAGTCATGATTAAGATGTGATTTCACCCTGAAAAATATGTCAACAGCTTTTCAGCAGACTGCTTCTGCAAATATCAAAAGAGTCAAAGAGTATGTGTGGTCTGAGAATGTCAGGCTAGCTGACCCTCAACACCCGAAAGGTCGCCTGACAGCCTATCAGTATCAAACAACACTTGTGTGTAGAGATATTTCTAAGGTGGAGTTTAGCCATCTCACTTATATCATGAGCATTAACACTACTGATTGCTGCATGCAGCAAAGAGGGCTACAAAAACTGGGTAAATGCGGCTCCGAGATAACCTTGTAGTGCCATAGCAAAATATGGACTGTGGCTCAGAGGAGAACAGAAATGATTCAAGGCTGTAGGGAGGAGGTGTCATGTGACACAAAAGCCTTTCATTAAGTCTTGTGATTTCTGAGTGAACAAAATATTTGAAGCCGGAAGGACAGATAGAAAAGGGAAACCACTGATGGAGAAAAAGCACAAAACTTTGTTTTTTTTATTTTGTTCCCAGTTTCCAGGCACACTGTAGATGAATCAATGCATATAGCACCTTAGCATTGTCAGTCAATCTGTCTATACACCACCCTCATAAAAACCCCTAAACATTTTAAAGTCTTTATACACTACATTGACAAATATTAGCAGCCTTCTCTTAGTGTTAGAACAAAAGTATTAAGCCCAGAAAATCTCCAGCGTTCGTCACTGCTGAGAACATTTTGCAAGTTCAAAAGCATAACATCTGAACTCTTGGTTAGTTTAAAACAATCACAAGAAAAGCAAGACCTTGATTTTACTTGCAAATATTAAGTGCTGGAAGTTTGAATGCCCACAAGTTCACAATGTCTATTTCCGGCTGACTAAGCAGAGCTATTCTATGACTACAATGTCTGTGACTAATTATTCTGTTTGGAGGCATTGACACTGTAACCGAATTTAAATGATATTGTTTTGCATATTCTATCAAGGTCCTTCATTGTTCAAACTCTGTTCTGAGCAAAGCTATTCTGAGCCCCATATTGCTTTTACTTTCTGCAAACAAGTAAGCTAGCATTTGATACATTTCATTTACAAACTAGGTTATCAGATATTCAACCTGACATAGAGCAACTTGAATCATAACAAAGAGGGCCAAAGAATTGCAGCACAATAAAAAATTGTCTGTAGCTTGTTGATGCAAACTACTTTAAAGCCTTCATTTAAAAAAAATAAATAAGTGACTCCAAAGCAAACCAAACACTCAACACTGTAACATTATTTAAACTAAATAGGCAGTACAATAACGGTGCCAGCTAAGCTGTTCCACCTTAGCTCGCTTCTTGGCTGAGCATTTAATCTGATAATGTCCTTCTTGTTTTTGAGGACACTGCTGGTGAGTCCTGTGTTGCTGTGTAGTCCTTGATGGTTGGCTGTCACTAGAACTCAGTTCAGGGCCCCCATAAGTATGATGCTGCTACTTCCACTCATTCCTCTAATTTTCCACTCAATTGTTTTGTAATTAGACATTTAGGCACTTCAATTTCCACTTAATGCATTGCCACAATAAAGCAACAGATGCATTAGAGGGGGGAAAAGTGAGACAGAAAACAATTATGGTACGGTCATTCATCACAAGGTCATTGATCTTTTATCTTCCAAAAGGAGTGTTTGTATAAAGTAGGTGTAAGTGTGCCTGTCTAATTTAATTTAAAAAAAACAGACAAGAAGCCTGCATTTGTAGCTGCTCTGAATTTTCCACTTTTCCCTAAAAAACTAAAAACTAAAACTAAACAAAAAAAGGCAGACCAGCGTGTCAAATGAACACTGGTAATTACTTTCAGGTTTCAAAGAAAAGACTCTGCAAGAGCTTTAGACTATCTATGATTTGTCAGTGTAATGCGACACTGCTGGGATTCAATGATGGACCTCAACAGAAGACTATAGTGAAGGACCAACAGGGGATGTCTCTTGATGATGAATTTTCAACTCGTAAACAACCCAGGGTCAAAGGAGGATGTAATACTAGTTTTGGAGTGCTTTCTACATTTGTTTCAGAACACGGCACAGGAAATAAGTGGTGTAGGAAGCTTGTTTTTGTATGATAAACTAATATTTTAATAAATATTATTTTTAATTAGATCTGTAAAGAGTACTTTATGCCACAAAAGAAATTAGCCGACCACAAGGTTTTCATTTGCTGTCATAAATTAACTAATGCAACGTTCATTGTCTGGCTCATATGAACTCATCATGAATTATTTTAATTAAAATAAAATCTGTCAACCCATCCTCACTACAGTTGGTAGGAAAAACGCTGTCATCGCTCTCGTGGTGTTGCTTCTACTATTGTTTTCTCCATAATTTTTAAGAGGCATTTAGGAATCCAAACATACAGCTGAGTAAATGTACAAATGAATTTGTGCTGGACCAGTAAGACAAAAATATAATATATAGAACCTGTCTTAATTCTGTATACACACAGGAAACAGACATACCAGAATACTGTTGTTTACTACATGAGCCAGCTTAGTTAATACAGGTCATGTGTCCTATCATGTGAGAACTGCAGGACGACGTGGGTTCTTAACGCTCCAATATCTGGATCAAAGATTTGAGGGAGATACACTGGTGGCTCTCAGAGAGGGTCAATAGAAAAGCTACATGTAACCGAGGCAGACTGTCTAGTTTTTGTGTAACGGCATATCTAAATATGCCTACTACTGCTTTTGAAAGTCTCCGATGGACAACAGCCCTGATTTTCTAGTGAGATTATTTTGAAAATACGTGCGCCTCTATCCACAACTACAGTTACCAACCTGCTGATAGCTCGCCTCCTCCGGTTTGAAAGTGCTGTCGACCGTCTGGAAAAAGAAATTGAAGTGAGGGAAATTGTGCAGCCAGTAAGTCCACCATGGAGCAACATAATCAATCCTTGCAGTAGCCATTACTACTTCGTGGAAAAGTCAATCCGCCAAAACCACTGACGACGGGCTTCCTTCAGAGATGTTGGCACTCAAATATTCCTGGGTTTGATGAAAAGTAAAATAATGATAATAAAAAAACTGAAAATAATAAATAAACTAACTAAATAAATAAAATATAAAAGATCTACTACCCATAGACTTCCGATCTGTGAAATTACCACAAAGTCTCAAAGCTGAACTTCTCCTTTTGGCTGAATGTCACTATTTTCCACCTCGGCTCCCATAGTTGTGAATGAACTGCTGTCTTACAACTAGAAAAAAAAAAACATATACACTGTGGGCCAAACATTTGCATCCCAGACAAGTGATCGTGTGACGACATAAACCTGCCTCCTTCAAAAGGCGTGACAGCTTACTAAGTCGAGTAGGAAAGGCCCACGCCCTTAACGCACAACACTCAAGTATCCCGTTGACCTCCATCACCGAGAAACGCACTGGCGGAAGTTTTATGAACTAAGAGTGCCAAATATGTGTTTGATGAGACAGACAGAACACGTGCATGTCTCGGGATGTTCAATTGTAATATTAATAGCCCGCAGTGCCCCCACCCTGTCTCTTTAGAAACAAGGTTTTTAAAGGTATATATATATATATATATATATATTAAAAGCTTCTTCACAGAAGGAGGAAGCTCTGAATTCCATCAACCCTTAACTTGTGACTGCTGGTGAGGATACAGAGTTAGTCACTGCACTATTTATGACTTCTGCTGTTAATGTCTGACCTCTTGTGGACAATGAGGCGCACTGAGGTGAACGAAGTAACGAGCACGGTAATGAGCTGCTGCAGCCACTGCCACAGACTGTTGGCTTCAGGTTTTATTTACAGTGTGATAGGTTTTTTTTTTCTTTTTTTTCTCCCCCTCAGTGGTGGGAACTGCATTTGCACCTCTATCTGGGCAAAATAGATATACATTTGCAGGGATTTGTTTTAAAGTGTGGTTGGGAACAGCTGCGGGCACTAACCATTTGAATAAACAAGCCTGATTTTGTACAAGGGGAAAAAGAAAGGCATAGTATACCTCAATTTCTACTAAAACAGAGAAATAATCAAATATCACAGAGGTAAGGCATCTCTAAGTGTCTCTTGAGAGCACGATTTGAAGATTGGGGATTAGGATCTTACATTGCTTACCAAGGTTTTTGAATTGGGATAAATGTGTTGAACATTATGTGTGATGTGTGTGGAAGACAGCAGATAAACAAACATTAAGGAATGGCTAAAAACATTAATTGAATAATCTGATCAATATGCTTGAATTTTGAAATGCAGCACATGTAGACTATGATATTCCCTTAATTGCTTGTTTGTTTTTTTAAGTAAGCCTTTTTTAAAATTGTGAATATTGCCAACACAACAGAACTGTGTGCAGTAGCATCACTTCATGGTTTAATGTTTAAAAGCCTTGTAAATTCACCCACATAAAATCCGCCTTTGGCAGATGAAAGGGAAGATTAAAATAAGTCAAATGCATTTTGCTCTGAGGAGCACTTGTTTTATCAGCATGGCGTACAGGGCGGCTTGCTTGCAAGCTAAACCATCTTGGTATCATATGGCCACTGCTGTAATTATCTGGATGCTTTGATGCACCTCCACGACCACAGTGCCTAGAGAGTGTGCTCAGAGTCTGAATGCTCCGAGTAGGTGACACTTGAAACGCACCGTATGAATATGAATTTTTGACTGTGCTCTGCATTTACAAATAGTAGGATTTGGTTCCAGGAAAGTCTCCAGTGATTGCCGTGCCAATCACTCTCAGTGTTTGAACCAACGGGAAAAGAATGAAATGCAAAAAAAAAGCACCTCTGCCTTTGTCTCTGGTTACATATATGAAGCATCAGTGTCTGCAGGTCATTTATTCTTGTTATTCTGGTGCAGGCAAAAAATGTCAGACCCACAAATGACATGTATGCCAGCGTGAAGTAATATATGTTATAAATGTATGTAGTCAGGCCAAGAAGCAACAAAGTCCTATTTTATGAAAAATGTTGCTTCAAATCAGCCAACTTTGTGATCGGAGTCTTATTAAAGTCAGCTCACCTAAAGATAGAGGTATTATGTGAGCGCAACTTTTTCAAATCACTGTGGAAAATACTGCATACATATTGCTGGGCTTTGATTTATGGATTTACTATACTGTATAAATGGAATAAATATGTGGGGAAAAAACACATAGCCAAGAAAATGGTTAAAATCCAACTGACAGCTAGTGAAGCTAAACCATTAGGTGGCAGCCCAGCACTTTTCTGCAGGGCTCAGGACCTCTTGGCTCCATGCTGTCCAGTTGTGACCTTTAGCTATACATTTTGAAGAAAATCTCAACTCATCACTGCACAGAGCTACTTGTGCATAATGCCGTCCACGAAGTTCTAATAACGGTCTAATATAGATCTAATTTTAATGAGGTGCAGTTTATAGATCAGATCTTTCGCTTTCTTGGGCCTTTCATCCGAAACAGTCTCTGGGGTCAGCAATTTGGGCACTGATGTAACAGGAAATACATATCAAAGAGAACTTTGAAGTCAAGTAACCGAGCAGTAAATGCAAAAAGTGTGAATGAATAAAGTTTTATTGTGAGTGACAACTCTGAAGGTCAGTAGTATTTCAATAACTCTATTGTAATGGTGTGCCAAGAGTAAAAGAAAAAAAAGTCAAATAAATGAATAAATAAATAAGAATGAATAAGAGCGAATTTAAAAATTACAGCGCACTACATTCCTGCAGGTTATACTGTAGCCTTGACTTCTGTGGGCAGCAAAATTTCACCGGGAGCTCACTGGAACTGCCTTGAGAATAATGTCACACCCTTGACTTGAATCACAGAAAAGTCCAATTGAACTTTCCTATGAACCTGCCTCTTCTAAAATCTTGATACTGAATTTTGTAGGGTAAGAAATGCATGAGATGTCTCAGTGCTCCCAGACACAGCTTGGCTGAATTCAGTGGTTTGGAGATTCTATATTCATGGGGGGAAAATACTCTTCATAGCCCTTGTAGTTATATAGTTGTTGCCTCTTCCTCATCATGTGCTCAAGTGTCCTTAGTGAGCGCTGGATTTACGTCCTGATTGACTGTCTCCATAACAATCAAAGGGATGATTGGTTCATTTAAAAGTGTTTTGAAGAGCCTTGTGTCATGTCTCCTACTCTCTATACTACTGGGATCCTTCCAATCCTTTACAGTTACTGCTCAGTGGAATGTAGAAATATGTTGTACTGGACTTTTCCTCCTTCATGGTTATTGCTTTTTTTGGATTTGTGACTCAAATCCCTTGCTCTATTTTGAGTGATTTATACATATGAATGAAGATTTATGCCTGTGAGCTCAATGTGCCAGTATTATCCAATCAAACTGGGCTGCTCACTGGCTCCTGAGATTGCATTAAAGTGTAATATCAATGCAGCAATCCCTGGGTTATTGCCACTTTGAAATACCCGGTGCCTCCGATACTGTAGCCACGTGTTATGATCAGGGGGGGATCTGTCTATTTATGTGAGGTTTCATGGGAGATTGCTGTGGTAAATTAATCAGAAGTTGCCAGCCATGTTTAATTCATTTGATCAATGACTGGATGAAGCTGGGGGGAAAAAAGAGAAGTGTCAGTGCATTCAGGTGACCACAAAGAAGTAAGGGACACAGAATAACCAGACGAGACCTAGAAATTTAATATTACTTATTTCCTGAAGTGTTCTCATCGGAGAAGACGCCGCTATCATTTTAATGCCTCACCTTAGGTTTCTTAAGTCTTCATAAACATAATTTATTATTCCAGCGGCTTGTAAAATTGTAGTTTATAATTTGATGACATTGAAAGCTATCCTGCAGAATGTTAGAAAATGGTGCTAAGAAAGAGAGGACATTAATTCTTGGGTAGTATTCTGGCTCTGCAAAGTGGTGTGCGGGAAATCACATTCCATAACTTTTTCTTATTGTTCCTTCACAATCTATTAATGAAGGATTTTCAGTTTATTTTGGATAAGAAGATTGCCTTGAACCCCAGTCTTTAAATTCTTCTGTTTAGTGTGCAAATACTATAAAGCCCCAAGGACCTGTAGTGTGCAAAACATTGAGAATAGTCTGCCTGAGAATCTATCCCCCTAGTGATTTACCGATGTTGACTGTCTATTCTAATCTGCTTGCTTTTTAAACTCTCTGTGTGGTTAAGCATTTAAAACGAGAAACTTCTTAGTCCTACATGAGACAGCAGCTTTGATGTCATGATCGCACTATTATTTTATGCAGCGACCCAGTGCTATAAGGGCTATTTCATGCAGTAATGATTTTTGTGAGGAGAAAAACCTGAACTGACATTGGCACATTTTTCCTTTTTTTCCCCACTACCCTGTAGGAAAATGGCTTTCTTAGCCTGCAATTTATCCAATTACGGATTTACAGCAGTGCAAAGTCAACCATATGATACAGCCTAAGTCTATTTTTCAGCCTTTGGAGCAAATCCAATCATTCCAAATGGTTGCTGATGGTAATAATTGCAACAGCATCGCATTGATCGAGTGGGTCCACGGGGTGGAAACAAACAAAGCACACTAAGAAAAGGAGATGGTGTTTTTTGTGTGTGTGTGTAGGGGGGGGGGAGGTTTGTTATTATGGCCCTTGTAAAAAAAATAATACTGAGGCATTAAAAGATGGACTTTAGACTTTATCGGTTGCTGATAAAGAAAATGCACACACCAATGTCCCAACTTTATTTATTCAAGACTTGAACGTAAAGGTAAAGGGTTACTGCGCTTTCTAAAATCAGAAGGACTTCTGGGAATGACACGGAAAATTTATAGATGATCCCTATGTAACAGCTAGGTACATGCATATCATAGTTCTTGGCTACTCTTTGTATCCTTATAGAACTTTATTAACAGTTTCAAACAACACCAATGATTAGTTTACAAAATGCTGAGTAATGAACTTCTAAGTAAGGATTCAATAAAGAACTAAACAAAAGGCACACAAGTCTAGTCAATGGCAGTACAATGACTAGCTAAACAGTTTACTCTAAAAAGACTGCTTAATGGAAACTAATTTGAAAAATCTTCCAGTTATCCTTTACAAAGTGTGTTATCCAGATCACTTCTAGACTGTTTCTGTATCTGTGTTTACTGTATGTTCCACAGCCCTGCCACAGATTGGCGATCTGTCCAGGGTGCAGCCTACCTCCAACCCTGTGACAGCTGGGGTGAGCTCCAGAGGCTTAATGCTTAATTGTATACATGCTGGTGCTGAGAGCAGTATTAGAAAAGATGATTGAGTCATTGTTACTGTTATTGCTCTGCTGCAGAACAGCTTGCGGCGAGGCTTTTGGTTTTGGTGGTGTCAAAACCAGCATTTATTTTGCCACCTACTTGATAGATGTACTCTACAGCACTTGCTGAGTTTATCGTTATTCTGGCTGTTAATTCATATCGCTGCGAAGAATAACAGATCTCTCTTGTCCGTGCTTATTTTGGCTAAAGGAATGTCACACTTGCACATGTAATTATTTCCATTAATCTCAGCTTCAGCATGTCTCGTCACTCTTGCGTCTCCTTTACCTTGTTCTCTATACCATACAGTCCCTATTCAGTTAAGCTCTGGAGAAATATTTCAATTCAAAGTAATATGTGATAGCTTGCTCTGCTCGTATTCATATCATAATTACATCTTAACTGTTGAGCTCCGGTCCCATAGTTTATGCTGCTGCACCTCTCAGCCACACTCACTGCACACCTTAAGCCTATATCCATGAACGGATGGTCATCTGCTTCTTATCGGTGCTACATAACATTTGGTGGAGAGAGATTATCTGCTCCAAGCCATGAATTTTTTGAGAATTTAATATGCTTAAGTTAATAATTATCTGCTGCATAGCTGATGTGTCTCTGCCTGATGCTGCATATCAAGTGGCCCCTGTATTTAGATTTATCCATCTAAATTCATTACACACAGCTCCCTACTCCTTAGTAAACTCCTCTGGAGTTTTTTTGTATGGAAATTGTTTCTCAAAATGACTTCATAAGACGGCGATACACACATGGGTCTGCTACCATTTTCGCTCCTTACTTACTTACTAAGACACTTTGTAAGTACTTTTGATTCATTTAAAAAGGTTTCTGAGGACACATCTCACACTTGTTGCCAAATTGCCATTTTAATGAAGGAAGTGCCATAAGATTTCTCGGAGCACTGTCCTTGTTGATGCTGATAATGAGCCATCTTCCAAGAAGGAACTGATCCAGCTTCATGCAAGGCTAACTTTAGAGGGCTATAACAGATAATCATATTCTCTTTCTGTCTGTGGCATCTTGTAGAGTTGGTTCTTATAAAATCTTTTTAAGAATAGCAAATACTGTAGATATCCACTGAGATGGCCCCATTTTTCAGTAGGCAGTATTTAATAAGATGAGACTGTTCATGCTTAAACTCGAATGCTAAACTTGGCAAGGATACAAATCATTTCAGTGGGACATGGGAATGCATTCCAAACAGCTGACAACCATTACACATAATGGCCCCTGCTAAGGGCAAGGTCTCAGATTCATTCTCATGTTAAGTGCCTTGTCTGACTGACTGATAAGGATGCATTAAAGAAGAGGTTGTGATACATGTGACAAATGTTACTGGCAAGCCAGTGAAGAGAAAGTGTTGTGGTGCAGGTGTGAATGAGGGCAGATGTCAGGTAGATGTAATGAAAAGAGTGGGGGAGGCAGCAGTGGCGTGCCTTCTGTGTCTGTACCACAAGCCTGGCATGTGGGTCTAAATTATTCCATAGAGGGTCTGCACTCTCAAAACTGCTGATATGATAATGAGTCTAATCACTGAATTTTAAGAAGTTTTGCCATTGTTTAAAATGCATTGTATCCCTTGAAAAGCTTAGAATTCAAATTAATAGTGTTTAAAGTCAGTGTGTAATTACACAGATAGGGTTACTGATTGAATTATGTCCAATTGTTTTTTGGGATGTGGTTAGAATATATGAAGCCACAGTTAAACTCTGTATCTATGAGGAATGCCACTTATCACCTGTCTTACGACAATATAAAACGCTTGATGAAAGTTGTCCTTTTAATCTCTGCATGTCTTGCAGTCTTGTCTAGCTATTGCGTTGTGGAAATTTGTGAGTCTTGATTGTGAAAACTTAAGGTCTCCAGCCTTAAAGCCACAAGGTCATAGCATGCAAGCGGCATATTTTACATTATATGACACATTTTACATTATATGACACATTTTACGTTCTGAGGCTTTGCACTTCCCTGGAAAAGGTTGTACTTTTTATTTGGCAGTGCAGGAGCTGGAGAGTGGGGGGAGATTGATTTAGTGTGCTTCAGGTACACGGGCTGCTTTTGTGTCTGGAGTTGCAATTTAGATTTAGAAGACAGAGCGGCTGCAATCAGGAAGAGGTGGTAATCAATTTTTCTTGTTTATGTGCACTTGTGTGTGTCTGTGTGTGTGTGTGTCTACAGCTGCAGAGAACAGATCCACAGCCATTGGCAAATAAGAGGAGCATGTAATGATAACCATTCCACTTTCCTTACTGATACACAGATACTGCCCTCGTTCTTCAGCACATTCAACTTCTTATTACATGCTGGACGTGTTTGCTTTTGTTTTTTTTCTTTACACCTGATATACTTTTCAGTCATTTGCTTTATGATCTATATCTATATATCTATATATATCTATATAGATATATCTCTCTCTCTCTCTCATATATATATATATATATATATATATATATGACAAACTAATTCAGAGACCTCTTTCTCTTAACAAGAACACAATTAAAATTTTCTACAAAAGGCAAATGTATACATATATTCAACAAGAAGCAGCAAACTGTTTCCACTTGTTATTTTCCAATGCATTACATTGGTCCCTGAATTTAAAAAAAAAAGAAAAAAGGAAAAAAAGAGGTTTATACTACACTGTACATTTGCCCTTGCACACCACAGAAGAAGCACATAAGAAAGTGTTACCAAATACTTTATTACAGCTTGAGGACAGTTGAGCCTGCTGGGTTTTCATTAGTTTTAAACAACAGGACTGCTTTTTGGCAGTGCAGAACAGGTTTTCATGGAGCACCATAGTCCTGTGAATGAGAGAAGGAAGACGGATGAGCAAACGCTAAGGAGTTAGTTTTCACCTTGAACACACCATCACTCTTCTTGACTAATTCTCAGGTTCTGTCTATACATGCAGTTAAGGTACTGGTGCCTGACAGAGAGGCAACAGTGGTATATCTGGCATACAACAAAAAGATCAATCACTTTATTGCTATAGCGTACTACTGAACATTAAACAGAGCATAACAGAGAACTGAACACTCTTGAAAGGAATTATCATTGCATCTTTGGCCAAAGTGAAATAAAAATGGATATTTAGAGAGTTAAAAGGTAGGTCTTCTTGTCTAACAGCAAATTAATTAGATGCTGTGAAGGTAATGATTTGGTTTCCTGTTTGCACGCTGAATGAAAAGTTGTAATTATTTCAAAGGCTGAATGGACATGCCTGGTGGAAGCTTCTTGAATATGTCCTGCGGGCAAGACAGCTGAAACCAGGAGTGCTGGCAGCCCCACAGTACCTGTCTTCATAGTGAGTGAAGACTGAGGTGGCACTATGAGCCCCCAGTCTGCTATTAATTCATGCAACTGTCTGGAAGATGAGCTGTGGTGTGAGTGAGAGCACAGTTCTTCCATCTTTACACCTGTAAAATGGATTGACTGAGCACACTGCTGGGAGAGGACCGTTTTTTAAAATGAAAGTTACCATGCCATATATTTCTCTCGGTATTCATTACTGGTCGTTTACTCTGTAGGTCCCAATCACCTTGGTGATGTCCGGTCTAATGTGATGGGCAGAACTAATACCGGAATAAAACCTCTATAGGCTATATGATGCAAGGACAATAATGTGAGTCCATGATGCCAAGGCTCCCTCTCCTGCATCTCGTTATAGCCAATGTGTGTACACACACAGGGAAAGGACAGGACAGCAGTGACAAACAAAGCAAATAAACTGGACCGTGACATAGGTGGGGCTGCCTGAAAATTGTGTAGACATGATGGGAATAGTTTATTGTGAGATTTAATGACCAGCTGTGTGATGTGGAATAACTCAGAACCCTCTGAAAACACATTACGGAAGTAAGGAGCTAGAGGAGGAGGAGTCGAGGCAGGTAGCTGGGTGAGAGTCATTCCGAACACTTACATTATTCACTGTCAATGTTAACAGAAATATGCAAGTAGAGTTCAATCATCAAGCAACAGCAAAGCAGTCTGACTGTAAAAAGTAATCAAAATTCTTTCTTCATCTTTCTGCATCACTTTCTCCCAGCTTATTTCCAAGGCAAATTCTTTTCCAGCTACAACATGACCACATCAAATGCGGTGTTTCCACGTTCAACTGATTTTAGTTTAATAATTTATGAGCACTACACTTAATACAGTAATGCAGATCAATGACAGTTTTGTTTGAATTTGTTTTGTTTCGTTTGTAATTTTGCATCTATGCAGCGCCACAGGAGATTTTAAATAAAACACTTAAGATGTGTTTGAAGTTCAAACTTTCACCTTTAATTCAAGGGGCTTTACAAAAATTTTGCACAAGCTTAGGAATTATAGCCATTTTTGTACATTTTAATAATTTTTTTTCCAAGGTTCAAAAGTAAGTGAACGAACTATCATGATTTTAAATACAAAGATTGCTTTTACTGCCTGGAATAAAGTCAGTGACTACTATCTAAGACCCACTGATCTCTACAAGCTGTGTTTACCTACCTGAGATGCTCTGCTAGGTCTTTAACTACAGTCACTTATAGTTGCTGCTTGTTTGTGGGTCTCTGCATTGAGTTATGTCTTGAATGTTTTACATGTTGTCTGCCCTTCCTGTTCTTGAGTGTAACCAGTGGTTTGCACCTTGCTGTAAACTATCTGTATTTCTATTCATCAGAACATCTCTTGATTGTAGACCTTGGAAATGATACACCTACCTCATCTGGGGAGTTCTTAACTTGGCAAGATATTGTTCATACAGTTTGCACTTCAAATTAATTTGATACATTTTGTAAAGTTGAAAACTTTCCACAAACTCAAGGCATGCTGTCATTGCTACCATACAGCAGCCTTGGCCTTGGCACCGTTTCTGATTTTCACTGTGACACAGACCCACAGTAGTTTCCGCTTCTTCCCACGATGTTCTGTTCCCTTTCCACTCACACTTATACTCAGTTTAAATTGATTCATTCATGATCCATTCATCATCCATTTTCTTAACTACTTAGCTAACTTAATGTTCAGAGGGGGCTGGAGCCTCTCCCAGATGACACAGGGCAAAATGCAGTGCACCAATCTATAACAAAGCTAACAAAGAAACACACTTTCATATTCACACAAGTGGCTGATTTAAAAGCACCAATTAACCCGGAGCACTCAAAGGAAATCCATGCAGGCACAGTGGGGGACATGGAAAAAAGAGAGACTTAAACCTAGACCCTTCTTGCTCCAAGGTGACAGGGCAACACCATGCCATCCCAACTGATTTACATAGTTGTAATAATTTACATAGCACACGTCATCCTAAAATAATAAGATCAAACACTGGCATTTACGGTAAGCACTGAGCCATAGGTTTAATAACTGCATTTGACATGAGCGATGGTCTGCAATTTGCTGCTCACCTTAACCCCTGTTCGCCTCACCTTGCATTCATGATCAGTGGAAAAATATTGCACCATAAATACTAGAGCTATCAGTGAAAACTAGAACAAAGTGTTACCATTTTATTAAATATATAAAAACAAGTTTCAGCCACTTGTGGGCAGTGGAAAAACTTGTAAACACAACAATGACATATCACCGCCCTTCAAGCAAGTATAGTAAAGTTGCTTATTTACACAGTCAACAGTTACAATATTATCTTTTGCTTAGAGTGTGTTTCTAAATCCAATATTCATTCTTTTAGCTCCCGAGGAAAATATCTGACAGTTTTGGGTGCTAAATGTTCCACTAAGTTCACTAGCAGATCTTTAATTGTTTGGTTCTGCAGTAGATATGTGCACTGTGAGTTTATCAGAGCTAGTTTGATGAAAACACATGGGCTGCTGTGGTCAAAAACAGTGCTATAAGCAGAGTACTGAACCGAAACGGTAAAGCTGTTGGGACTGGCAGCTAATCATTGGATGAAATTCACTTTCAAGATCCATAAAGCCAAGGGCAGCTTCAGACCCAGGTGATGATTTTCTGTGTGTTTATCACTTTAAGTGACTCCTTTGTTTTCTCCTTTTCACTTGCTACAGTGTTATAAAAATATTGAGCCACTTATGAGCTATTGATCATGCAATGGTCGTATTAATGCAGCTGTTATAGCTGAATAGTGCTACGTGCTAAGGAATGATATTTATTCTTTTCTTTTTTTTTTCTTCAAATTAATTTTGGAAAAATTGTTCTTTTAACCTTAGTATGTCTAACCTTACTGGCCCGAGTGCACCCTGTTAACGGCCCAAGAAGACTGTTCATTAAAAAGGCATTTGAACTTCATCATTCTCAACTTAATAACGTTAATTATAATTCTGACCTTCAAGAGATGTTTTATTATTTTTTCTACATCCGCTCAACTCGTGTATTAAAACAATTATTTTGAAGAATGGTTTGTGGATCGGCCAGACTTTTTTTTTTCCCTTCCAAATGCGTCGTGGTTTTATTATTGATAAAGATTCAAGGTTGAGGTCATGGTTAAGGGTATGGTGGTTTTGTACTGTGCATAAACAAAATCCTGCAGAGCAATGCCAAGGCCCACAGATAAGATATAAACACGATGCATACAAAAACAGTACCCTCTCATAACAATCTTTACAAGTCAGCATAGAGCTTCAGAGTCAGAAGTGCAAATGATGTTTACTGAAATGAATGATTAAAAAACATAACAAGATTAAAAAAAAAAAAAAAAAAGAAAGATGCCATTTGTAAACAGACTCGCATGCCCGATGATGCCATGTCATTGCTGACAACATCTTAAGAGATGCAAGTTTACTGATAAGGTGTATTTTTAACTCTGCTACAGAAAATATTAACTTTAGTTGTTTTGCATTCGTGCTGAATAATGACAGCAAAGCGGAAACAGATATAACATAACTACGTTCTCCAGGAATCAAAGCCCGTAGAAGGCTCAAAGAAAAGTAAAAGTTAAATCAAAGCTTGACAACTTGTATCTGTGCAAATTAAATTTAATCTAAAAAGCCAAAAAATAAGATACTATGGTTCCCATCAATCTGAGTTAGGGAGCAATGTTGTCTCCTTATCCCTTTACAATAGTAATAGATTTTAGTCTTAAGGCAAAACGATCAGCCTGCATCCATTTCTTTGTTTAGGAGAAAAAAATAAATGACTGTCACCATTGACAAAACAGACATCCCAGCTAATCGGTTATTGCAAAAATCAATCACAGGCCTTTATTTTTGCTGTATTTCCTCAGTTTGTCATACTAGAAAAAAGGCTGCGACCCTCCGGCCCATCTTAACCCTTTCTTTGTTGACGTGTCAACAAAGGCGGTATTAAAATCCCACAGCAGCAACTTGTTTCAAGTTAAGGTTGACAGAATCTTCCAATTGAAAATCACTTAATGGGACCCTCCCCTCTTCCTCTCATGGCTGCTCTGTTCAGTTTGTTAGATTGTACACCATCAGACAGTGGCAGTGGCAGTCATTGCAGAATGACACTGTCCTGACCTTAACTCTTTTGAAGACAGTGCCTCCAGGTCTTCCCCGGAGGCTGTTGGGCATGCTGAGGTGTGCCATAGGTGGTGGAGCTGCAGTACCTCAGCTCATTTTGATTAATGGACCTCTCTCTGCCCCTGAGTGAGCAATTATCAGAGGGTAGGCAAAGTCGTTCATCACTGTAACCAAGCAGCAGGTCGCTTCCACTGTCGAAAGTCATACCTGCAGGGCGAAGGGGTCTACATCCCCCACCTCCTTCTCCCTATCAGCCAGGCAGCTAACCCATGTTTGACCAGGAGGGTCTGTCTACGGAAGGTCAGAGAGTTGAGGCTTAGGCTGTATGGAGTCAGAGCATGCCGCCTGCAAGCAAATTAGAGTGT